TGCAGTGCACACCTTTCCTCAACTGTCAAGGCAACTGGAATTACATCTCACAGGAACACTGCGGAGGAAAGTTAACAATTCCTAGCAATTTAAAACTCTGGCTGCAGGACTTTGGTTTAGCAATTGTAAGCAAACTCAGACAGGAGCACAGAACTTTCATCTACATTTCACATGTATTCTTGCCGCTAGAAAATGGCACTTTCAGAAAATGTCTAAATTCCATGAACTTAATTGTACATTGCATTTTCACAAGACTTGTCTTTCTGGCAACTCTTGGGAAAGCCCATGGATGCTGAAAGGAACAAATTAGTAAGAACAGCATCAAAACTGTTCAACTACCTGGCACAGAAAGGGCATGTGGTATTCCTATAGTCACATTCTTAGAAGTCACTAACATTCGTTATACTTTAAAAAGCCATTATATTGACTATGGGTAAGATGTTTCCTAAGCATTAGAATATCCTTAACACATACTGATGAAATCTTTTTAAAACAATGAATACTAAACACTGTTTAATCTTTCTGGTGGTTAAGAAGATTCTGGAGAATTTGCATTTATAAATAGGATTTGTTTTGGTGCTACAGTGACCTCCTAATTAATAGGGATTCTAACTGAGGACATACTAGGTGACAGTGGCTATATATTATTTCAGTTGTTCTTAGGTGCTGTCAAATTGGTTCCTCAAGACCAACAGGCAACATTTTAACAGGTGGTGAAAAGACTGAAACTGCCAATGACTTCATCTTGTTTGGATCCACCATCCACACCCTTGATAAGAAACAGTCAGAAGTTCAAGAGACATATTCCATTGGGAAAGTCTGCTGTCAGGGACCTCTCCAAATTATCGACAAGCAATGATGTCTGTATGAGGACTAGCGTGTTGCCTAATTCAGGCCATGATCATTTCAATACTTGCTATCTATCTAAGAGCTTGACAGTAAATAAGGATAAGAGAAGAAGAATTGATGCCTTTGAACCGTGGTATTGGAGAAGAGTACTGAATATCTCATGGACTACCAAAAGAACAACAGGTGTGTCTTGGAGAAGGGACAGCCAGAGTACCTTCCTTGGTAGGTACCTTTCTTTATCTCCTTGGAGGCAAAGATGACAACACTTCATCTCACATATTTTGGGCATGAATGGCTAGTCCTTGCAGATGGACATCATGACTGGAAAGGTGGAGGGCTGGTGAAAGAGAGGAAAAGCCTCAACCAGATGGATTGATATAGTAACTGCAGCAAAGGGCTTTCGTGTGTCAGATTGTGGGGATGGGATGGGATAGGATAGGATTCGGATAGGATAAGGATAGGATAAGGGTAGGGTAGGGTAGGGTAGGGTAGGGTAGGACAGGACAGGACAGGCTAGGCTAGGCTAGGATAGGACAGGATAAGGATAGGATAGGATAGGATAGGATAGGATAGGGATAAGATAGGATAGGACAGGATAGGATTCAGATTTGTTGTTCATAGGGTCACTATGGGTTGTACTCAACTTGATCGCACCTAACAACAACATAGCAGCCATATGTATAACACAATGAATGCCTGCCTGATCCCATACCCTTACAATTTTTGCTCTGCTTAAACCCATTTTTGCAGTCACTGTGTCAATCCATCTTATTGAGGATAATCCTCTCTAGTGCAGACCCTCCACTTTCGCAAGTATGATGTTCTATTCCAGGGACTGTCCACGCCTGACAACATGTACAAACTATGTGAAACAAAGTCTCATCCTTGCCTCTAAGAAACACTCTGCTGCAATTCTTCCAAGACAAACTTGTTTGTTCTTTTGGCAGTCCATGAGGATTCAGTTCTTTGCCAACACCAGAACTCAAAGGCATCTATTCATCTTTTATCTTTCTTATTCATTGTCCCACTTTCACATGCATTTGAAGCAAATGAAAAATGTTGTGGCTTGGCTCAGGCACACCCAGGTCTTTAGAATGACATTCTTGCTCTTTCACATTAAGTGCATTTGTCCAATGCAATATATCCTTTGATTTCTTCGTGGCTGCTTCCAAGTATATTGACTGTGGATCCAAGTAAAATTAAATTCTTGTCAATTTTAATCTTTTCTCCATTTACCACCGTATTGCTTATTGGACCAGTTCGTGTGGATTTTTGTTATTATGATGTTAAAGTGTAATCCACAGTGAAGGCTGTAGTCTGTTCTCTTCTTCAGTAAGTATTTCAAGTTATCTTCACTTTCAGCAAACAAAGTTGTGCTATTTGCAAATCAAAGGTTGGTGATGAGTCTTCCTCCAATCCTGAGGAATTCTTGTTCATACATACCAGATGCTTAAATTATTTTCTCAGCACACAGATTAAATAGGCACAGTGAAATCATGCAACCCTGATGTGTATATCTCCTTGATTTAAAACCATCAGGATTCCCTTTGTAGTGTTCTGGAATTCCCATTCTTCTCAATGTTATACATTATTTATTATGGTCTAAACAGTTGTAATACTTTTGCATAGTCAATAAAACACAAGCAAACATCTTTCTGGTATTCTCTACTTTCAACCAAGATCCACCTAACATCAGCAACAATATCCTTTGTTGCACAGCCTCTTCTGAATCTCGCTTCAATTTCTGGCAGTTTCTTGTTGATGTGCTAAAGTAGGATTCAGTTCTTGAAAAATTGGCTTTTAGTTCAGATAAGCCAGTGATGAATCCTGGCTCTTCCATTTCCCAGATGTTAGGCCCTGGATAAATGACCCAGCTTCTCAAACAACCCTCTCCTCAGGGTAAAAACTCCCCTGCTAGGATGCTGGGTTTGATTTCCAAAACCATCCATGATGTGAGGTGCAAAGTCACCCTTAGCCTCAATGTCTTTTTGATGAAAGAGAAGAACTACCATTACAAATTAATATGATATGGTTATGAGAACCAGTAAGTAGCTATCTAATATCTCTTAAATCAGGAATGACAGTTCCCTTTAAAATCCTTAAAAATATTTGCAATGAGGAAGGAGATGTGAGGAAGAGAAGGTAAACAGGAATAAATGGAGAATTAAAATACAACTCTCATAATATAGAGGCTACATCCTCCACTCATTTCAACTAAAAAAAGGTTAATGAGCACCCCCATGTGGTGGATTATCTAAATTCCATCCCTTACTACTGACTGCACTTAGAGCAGGCATAAACCCAACCATTCGGTCATGACAAGAAAATGGGTAGGATTTGAAATAGAACTGTTAAATTTCAGTTGAGTTTTTAGTGTCTCATCATAAATTCTGAATCATCCACAAAGTCCCTAAATATTTTCTTCATGTATTTAATAACTTCTATCCTGTGTTTTCAGTGTGTTAGTATGCAAGTCAGCAAATTAAAGGAGCAATTCTGAGATCCTGACAAAAACAAAGTTAAACTGAAATGTGTGTGCCTATATATCTTTATATATAGTTTATCACATTTATCCAGTTACCTTAATGGAAATTAGAAATAAACAGTTATCTCTATCACACTGTGAAAAAATGCTTAAGCACTTATTAAGTACATGTGCTTTAGGTAACTGTTGTTGTTGTTGTTGTTATGTGCCACCAAGTCACTTGCAACTCATAGCAACCCTAAGTACAACAGCCCTAAACCCTGCTCTATCCTGTGCCAATCTCACTGCTTCTGACACACCCATCCCGATTACCCCAGCCACTGAATCAATCCACCTCATAGAGGGTCAATGAGTTTATTCACCTTGACCTCACAGACTAATATCTATGCTTAGTACTGACATGGATAAAATACATCTGCCCATCTGAAACTATCTGAGGTTCACATATTAAGACGTGCTGATTTTAGTAAAAAAAAACTCTACTTAATAGACCGTGCAGGAACCAGTGGGGGTTAGTTAAAAACTGAATGCATCAGAACATCCCAATTGTGCTAAAAAGTAAGACCCCAATTATTTACTGAAATTATGCTTTTTTTGGAAACATTAGCAGGCTAATAATAGACTATTTGTAAAATCACACAACTAATCTCAATCAATTTCCCTGGTGTCATAAAGAGCTGACACTTGGAGGAAATTATGTTTTTAAACATTTCCTACTATATTACCTAAAAATTTATATATTACATTTTTCCATATTTAAAACCAGGCAGTAACCATGTTCTGAGATAGCTAAATTTTAGGTCCATAGCACAGACCCCTGGCAATTTAATGCACTAATAAAAGAGGACCAGTTTGAAGTCAGTTTTCAAACTCATATAAAATCAGCATTAAAGTCTCAATTTAGATAATAAGTCACATGTAATTCTTCCTAAGTTGGTAGTTTGTCAATAGCACGTTTTGCATCTGACACATACATGTCAACGACATACAGAGCATATCTAACACATGAGAAGACTGCATGGTTTCAGAATCCACATAATGCACATGTTCTTTTCATAAAAATACGGTACTTGACAGTGTTGGTGGGAAGTTAATATAACAATATGACTTGCTTCAAGCCAGGCTCCTTGGCAACACAGGAGCAGAGTCAGCACTTCTAAATAATGACAAACAAGTCACACCCCAATAATCTACATAAACAAAAATAAACAAAAAGGGATGTATGGTTTCTTCTGGCATTGGCTTCACCAAGAAGAGTATGTACCATTAAAACCTCTGGAAACTTCAGGAGCAGAATCACAGCTCAGGATGGTGATGGAAGTTTCCCTGCTGGCGAGCAGCTCAGCATTTACAAGGCCGTCTAGACAGGGAGCCCTGGAGGGCCCTGCATGAACACAGCACTGACAGAAGGCATCAGCTTTCTGCCTGTTCAGCCTACACCCAAATAAATGAATGTCTTCACTAAGTCTTGCTTTGCCAGCATATTCACTGTAAAACATGTAACAGACTCTGAAAATAGAAATCAAGATTATAGGCAATATTTTGGAAACGAAGTCTTCCTCAAGCTGTGGAAAAAATCTGGGTGGCCCAGATTCCTCCCCATCTTAAAAGAAGACTGCTTTTCCTCCCACGCCAGAGAAAGAGGTGAAAATGTTTACATGGATACATCTGATGTGTTGACACAGCTCTTAGCAATAAGTCCTTCAAAAGGGCGATCTTTTCCTTCAGATTCTGCAACAAAGCTCTGATTGTCACGGTAAGCTGAAAAGAAAAGAACACATCCTAAGTATGCCAGTCCAGACGAGGACAGTCTCTCAAATAATGTCAAGTACACTGTGCTTTGCATCCTAAGATGCTACCAAGGAAGGGTCAGAAGAGATGGTTAGATCTCTTCCAAATGACAGAAACTCAGGGCTGCACAAAATCTTAACAGACACCTGGCCCAGCCACTTACCTAATAGCTGGACCCATTCTACAGCCTGACCAAGTGGCAAACCACTCATCCATGAATCCCTCCAGTGACTGGAAACATGTTTTCAAGTTCTATTCTCTAACACTATTCTCTGTCAGCTTGCCCTCAAAAAAAGGGTGAATTCTGTCCCTTGAGTTTCTATTCTGTGCTATTTTCTACCTCAGAGGTATGCAGGAAAAGTTTCATCCTCTTTCTAGACTCCAGTATTCAAACTATTTTTATCTCTACAATTGTGTGCCCACGTCTTCTCTCACCCATAGTTCCCTCTACTACGCTTCAAATGCTCAGCTTCCAGCCCCATGCTCTGCTGATCTTTTCTCTAAACCCACTGGCGTATTTATAGCCTATTGAAAAGTGTCACAGCAATGTGGCTTTTTATTACAAGAGGAAGGTGAATCACATGTGACTTCTTTCTCCAGGAGTGGGTAAATTTTCTCCAACCATTCTACAAACTTAGAAGGAATTTTTGCTTGAGACTTTAAACGTTATATCCAAGGGTAAGGGAGACTCTCAGAAAATGAGAAACAGGAAAAAATAAAGCATAATCAACCATGCATAAAATCAGAGAGACAAGACATCATTTCATAAAGATGGAATATCAAAGGTTTAGTTCTTTTATTAAAAGCAGCAATTCTACAACTGCAGTAGAAGCAGGGACTACCCTCTAAGAGAGAACAGAACGCACACACCACCCAGCCCTATCCTGAAACATCCTAATATCTTTGGGAACCATAAAATGCCCTAGATCAAGGTGTAAAGAGTACAGCAAGCACAAATAAAAACACAATATGCCCACAACAGGCATCTGTGGACTCAAAGACCAAAAGAATTCATGAAATGAAAGCAAGTAGAGCCTCTAAAAATGATTACTAAAAAAAAATTATTACGCAAATATAAATTTATTAACATTAAAAATGTAGCCATAGCAACACTTCCACGATACATCTTCAAGGATATGAACATGTACGGCTAAGCACAATTAATAACAGTGCATCTAAATTCCAAAATCAATCTCCATAATAGTCTATG